AGATGCCTCGCTTGGCAGTCGTTTAAGGACCAAGGGTAAGTACCCTTGGTTCGCGCCCATTTGGCTTGGTATTTTTCCGTCACGTGAGACAATCTGAGCGGGAGGTTTGACGTCGAGGTATAATGATGTGCACCGTCGATTATTGTCCGGTACACACCATTAGAACTCGACTGTCGATAAACCGGTTGTACTCAGGAGAGGTTTTCTACAGTTTCCCTCTCCACTGGCGAGAAAACCTATTAGACGGGCGGTCCAGGCAAATGCGAGTTCTACTAATTTTCAAGTCGCTCTGTAGGTGCAAAATTTAGTATTAAGTATAGAAATAGAAAAATATTGTGTGAGAAAAAATTTGTAACGAGACACTTGAATAGCCAAGTTATGTAGGCTGAAGACAGGTGTATAAACCAATAAACCAAAAATAAATGAATCAAGAAAACAAATATAACAAAATGGATCAACACGATATGAAGAATATTACGACGAATAGGATATTAATAAACAAAAGAAATAAATATGACGAAATGGACCAACATTACATTAAGGCACTTTTCCTATGTAACGGCCGAAATTTCAGGCTTTTTTCAGAAATTTTTTTTTCACAGAAAATAAAATATAATTCTATAATTTATTTTACATGTTGTAATTGGTGTCTAAAAATATACAAAAAATTTTTTTAGTGATTTCACAAATAATTTAATAATTATTTTTGAGTCAAAGGTGACTCCTTTGAAAATGCACGGGTGAACGGTCCCAACGATAACTTTCTTCAGTATTGTCTGAAATATTTTTATTTCAAACCTAGTTTTACTCAGTATGCTTACTGTTATCGTGCGAACCTCAATAAACAATTTATCTTAATAAATAACAAAATGGCGGACTGTTAAAAAAAATTTCAAAAATCGCTTGTTTTTTCGTGAGTAATTGTTTAAAAAAATAGAAAAATTTTTTATGTAAAATCATGATCGAGGTTCACACGATAGCCACTCATGTGTAGAATAATGCCTCTAAATTGCAGACCGATCGGTTAAATAGATTTTGAGTAATCCTTGTCACCAGTTAGAAAAATGTGGTTTTGAGAAAAACGCGTTTAAAGTTTTGGTAGTTGTAGCTCGCGCCCGTGCACTGTTTAATTCTACGCGCTGTAACTTTGTTAGTTTTTCAAATACGAGAACGATCGCGCGCTGCCGCGCGCGTTTTTTCTCTTGCGCAATCCTTTTTTTAATTTTTAATTTTTTTTTAACAAAAGTACTTATAAAAGTTATAGAAAACCTTTTTATAATCAAAATAATCTATATGTTAATTAAATTTTGTAACATTAAAAATCTTCCATAGTAAATTTATATTTTAAAAAATAGTGATGAAAGAAAAACGTTACTAAATAAACAATTTTTAACTATTTTTCACTTAGCTAGCAAAAAAACATCTCTACTGTCAAAGAAAGCCATAAACAGAGGATATTAAATTAAAAATTTACTTTTGTTTCTTAAAATCGTTCCTACTTTTGCTATAAATTTTTGTCCGAGACTGTTACTCAAGACATATATCTTTATTTTTTAAAGTCATCTTTTTTCTCAGTTCTTTACTTATTTTTGCTTCCTCTTAAAGGAAGCCTTATAGAGATGTCGATTTCCGAATTTTTTAGAATCAATTATTTTTACAAATTTTCAAGTGTAGTATATATAATTCGTCGAGAGGAACAAATGTCCGGATGTATGTGTGTATGTATGTGTGTATATGTCACCGATTCTTGTGGACAAATTTTCTATTACACGTCTTGACGAATTTTGATAAAATTTTGTAGGTGTATTACGGTTACGAATACCAAAAATCAGACAGAAGGATTTTCAAAAATATCAAAAAAAAAATTTTTTCAACAATTTTTTAATTTTTGAAAAAATCAATTTTTGGATTTTTTGAAATAACTTTTTTCTATATTAAAATTTTAATTAATTCTTGTCAAAATTGCATTCCTGACATAAAAACGAATCGATTCATGTATATAAAGTATATATTTTATCAATATTTATAGAGTTAATAAATATTTTAATTTTTCTAAAAAAATTGAAATTTTGTATTTTTTGAAATTTTATCTTAATACTTTAAAATAATTATTATAAAATAAAAAATTAAACAATTGGTATATATTATATTGAGGAAGCTTTTTTATCTTCTTTCAATTATTGATAGTTAAAAGTGCCAATAAATTTTTTGGTATTTTTTTTAACTTTACGTTCTGTAGGCCTCTGAAAATAATTTACTAAATCATACTTCTATCTGAGAAAAAAAAACAAAAGAAATATTTATAAAAAATGCATGTGAAAATAAATGGATTTATACAATATAGAATAAAGTAAAGATAATTTTAGAAATGTAAAAAGATTTATAAAAGTCAAACTTACTATTTATTCAGTATGATTAATTAATATTAATAAAAAAGAAATATAAGTGTGGTTTCTGTAAATATTATACAAAAAATGTAAGTACTTCGTCATTTCGAAGAAAATAATTTATTTCAATATATGCTTTTCTATAAGATTCATGAGATGCAAAATTTCGTTAATAATCTTGAGAAATATTATCTTTAAACTTTTTTCAAAGTTCATTTGAATGAACTGGTTGGCAGTACATTAAAATACGTACAAATAAGTGTCTTAATTATCTAAAGTTTGAACTATTATTTGAAATTAGGAAATTAAAACGTCTTTGACCAATTGATAAGAAAGAAACGTGTAAAGAAATCTTACGTGTGAATCTTATTACAAAAAAATGACGCAATTTACCAATAAGAAGCGTCGAATAAAGTTTTTACGCGTAAAGACAGCCATACTGAGACACACTCCTTTTTTAAGAAAAAAAATATATAACGAATCAGACATTTTTATAGAAAAAATATTTATTTTTATTTCAATAATTCAGTGTAAACATAATTCTTGATTAGTAAATTAGGTCTTTGATTTCCTAAATATATAATTGATGATTCCCAAGATTTAACTCGTGAAAATGCAACATATACTTGCCCATGACTAAATACATTTTTACGAAGGTCTGCACCAATCTTGTCAAAATTTGTCCTTGGCTTTTATTTATTGTCATTGCGAATGCTAATTTTATAGGAAATTGCCGTCGTTTGAAAGTAAAGGATAAATATCCTCACAATACAGCGTAATACGATTTATAAATACAATATCTCCAACCTTATCACCTGTTAAAATACGACAACGTAGCAGATTGTTTGATAGTTCTAATACCTGCATTCGCGTTCCATTACATAAACCTTCAATAATACTAAGATTTCGAAGTAGCATGACAATACAATTGGCTCTTAATCGTAATTCATAAGGCAGGAATTTTGATGGATTTAAAGTATTCAAATACTCTGTTAAAATAGCAACATTTATACTTCCATTATCACAATTTTCGGTACTATCAACACTTGTATAAATTCGCTCACTTTTATTATCAAACACTTCGAGTACCTTGTTGTTAATTTCATCAACATCAACATTTCGAGCAGACAATATTGCTACTTTTGCTAAATCATCGTATTTTTTATTGATAATTAATTCTCCAAATATTTTATGAATGATATCACCATTCTCTACACATTGCTCTGGTGCTAGTATATTATTATCATTATCATTTAAAGTACCATTTCCAACTGATAATAAATATTCTGAAAATTCTATTTCACCAGGTAAAATTCTCATATTTTCTGTTAATGATATTACCTTAAAATGACTCCATAATGTGCTAGATTTAATAGATAAATTAACTAATTCGCTTCTAGTAGCATTAACTTTAACAGGCAATAATTGTCTAAAATCACCACCCTAAAGCATAGTTTTTCCACCAAATGGCATATCAACATTCATAAAATCGCGTAATGTTCTATCAATTAATTCCATAGCATATCTTGGCGCCATTGGAGCTTTATCCCAAATAAAGACATCAACCTCTTTAAAAAATGTAGCTTCCTTAGATTGACTTTTAATATTTGATGTAGAATCATAGAACAATGGAACAGGCATCCCAAACGTTTTATGTACAGTTTTACCACGGGGAAGTAATATATATTTTTTTTTTTTGCTTAGGGAATTTTGGGAAATCTGCCTACAGATACCTTGGATTACGCACTCCACATATTGCATTTTACCAATCTCTTTATGTTGTTGTAATGACATTTTGTTGTTCGTTTGATTTTCTGTTTTAATACTTATTTCATTTAACTGTATCATTTCAAAAAAAATTGCGAATATTTGATCCTTCATGCAACAGAAAGTTAATTATATCATTATATGCTCTTTTATGAGCTTCATTAGATGGATAATTTTTCTGATAATCTTCAGACATAGCCTCTTTAAACTTTTCCCAAAGTTCGTTTGGATGAACTGGATGGCAATGAATTAAAATACGCACAAATAAACGTCTTAATTGTTGTGGCATCATCCATACTTCTCCTTCTGTCAAAGCACGTTCCCATTCTTCATCATCTCCAATAAGACCTAATGCTAAACATGCACTACGAAAAGTGTCATGTACAATATTGTTAACAGTTCGCAGATGATCGTAACTTGTAGCGCCTTTAACAACTATTAAAAGTAATCTAAGATGAAACAGTTTTGATTGACTGGGCGAAATTGAATACATCCGTCCAATGACATTAAATGACTCTTTACGCTTCACCCATTTTAATGTATTTTCACCACGTTCTTTCTTAAAAACATAATAACATGGAATTTCTGCATATTATGACGGTTCTTTTAATAATAAATTTAGAAAATATACAAAATCCCAAGTATTTTATTAATTCCCTTAGTCGTCAAAAATCAAATTTAACACCGAACATGGCATGTCAGACGCCAGTTAGTTTTATTTGTCGAAAAACTAACAAAAACAATAATACAGAGAATCAGTAATTAATAATAATAATTTGTCAATACTTCTCACTAGTCAAAATTAACAATCTCAAAGGAGATTCTGTTGGGAAAATTAGAAAAGGGAAAATCTAATTTCAGAGACACGACCTTTTTAGTAAAACTCTACTTACTTGTCTTATTGTTGATTTATTAATCCTTTCGTCTTTATAGGACTATTAAAAATTAATAATATGTCACACAAACTTTTCAACTCTTATTTATTCAACCTCACTTATTTTCTTTCTCTTTACATAAATTCAATATAAATCTCTTAACAAATCTCCTCACTTGTCACTACTACGACAACCAAAATTCAACTCTCTTCTTTCTGTCGTCTGCTACATTTCAATTCGCGCGAGCGAATCGTAAAGGGGAGTTTTCATCTCCCATAAACTCGAAGTCGAAGTTACACGTAAAAATTATAAATTCAAAATAACAAGAAAATGTATTTGACGGAGTTACTACGTCACAAAACTCCCCACTAAGACTTGAACTAACTCTTTGGTTTAAGTCTTACACACACAAAAAAAATATAATACTACTATAATTCACTCGTCATTTATCCGACGTAAAAATACAAAATAAAATAATATCTCAATAATTCTCAAAATGTTCAAATAAAAAAAAAACTTAATTTTAATTAATAAAAAAAAATATCAAGGTCTTGATTAAACTTATTGTCTTTAACAAAACATCTCACTTATTTCTTGTGTACTCTTTCCTCCAGTTCCATTTGTCGTTCCTTGATTAACTGTTGAATCGCTAAGTTAATCGTTTCGCTGGGCAAACCTCTCATTGCTATAGTCACTTCTTGGATCGCTTTTACTAAAGGTATCGCTTGTTCCCTAGTCGACTCATATGGAGGTGGCAGGTCATCATTGTCACTACAAGATGATTTAGAAATTTTGTCATCTTCCCTGGTCAATTCAAGATCGTCTGATCTTTTCCGATCCTCAGCAGCTTCCTCCTCCTTTGATTTCTTTCCAGAAGTAAATAAAATCGGGCGTCTAGTCATTGGTGGCGAAGGTGTCTTCGGAATGTTCCACGCCTTTCCATGGGAATCATGACCATCCTTATCCACACTGGAATTTATTTCTGCTTTCCACATGGTAGGTAATAGAGGGTTTCCTTGTCGTCGAAACGTTGTTGGACGTCTTTCCACTTCTTCTTCTTCTTCCTTGTCTCCTTTCGGTGAGAGTTTCTCCTTATTCGAATTTCCCTGGGCTTGTGCTAACAGGAACTTCCGATATCCTTTAGCACAGCGGGGACATGTGGCTACTGTTTGGTATTTCCTTCCACAGTTTTCGCAATGTGCTTCTGTGACAGGTTTTGGACATTTGGAACGGTTATGCCCCTTTCTCCAACAGTTGTTGCATACTCGAGGAGGTGGATCAATAGTAGGGTCAGTCGGAATTGATTCCAAGTCGTTAAACAGGGTCCCGGTCGTTTTCCTTGGTAGAGCCTCGTATTGTCCTTGAGGAAAAGTCTTTTCTCCAACTCCTCTCACTCGTGTCGTCAACATGTCCATCCCAGGTCTATTTGGAGGACCAGGTGGTGTAATTGGTCTAGGGTGTTCAATTTCGTCATCGTCAGTTGGATGTACTATGTCTTCCTTTCTAAGTACTGGATTCCGTAACTTAATTTCCTCGGATTGTTTCTCTTTCAATTTTTCCACTGCAATCGAAGATTTAGGATCTTGAAATTTGATGAATCTGTCAAGTTCATCAACTGCAAGTCGACTTCCGAATTCTTCCCAACTTTCACCCTCTTGTCGTTTTAAAACGGTGTCCTCCATAGTCGCTTTCGGTAATTGGGTTGGGTCAACAATTTCTAGTCCACTGATTTCCGCTTCGTCCAATTTCCTTGAGTTGTCGTGAGGCCGACGAGATATAGCACCTAATGACCTTATATTCCCCGAGTCATGTACTGGGAAGTCTAACAAAGATGGTGGCGATGAATAACCCTCCGGCATTTTAAATTCCTCAGTAGGTCGATGTTTAGATGAAGAACTTCTTCTCATTAAACCTCGTCGTGACATCATTGCTTGATTGGAATATGGCCGAAATTGAAAATTTACTTGTCTCCTCCTCTTCCCTTTGTCTATAGATCTAACCTTCTCTGCCAGGATTACGTCACAACTCCACCCAAGTCAAAAATAGTCAGAGCCTAAAAATAATTAAATAATTAATAAAAATTGCAATTAATTTAATTAGGTGAGTATTTCTTTAGGTCTGTAACATGGATTTTTGGATTTCTACGACTGTCATGGGTGCTTAATACAAAAACTGAAGGAGATAATTGTTTAATAATTTCAAATGGGCCTTCAAATTTGGGAGCTAACTTTGTCGCAAACTTTTGTAACCCACTTGATAATTTGTGGGACTTCCTAAGTACTAAATCACCAACCTTAAAGTTAACTTCATGTCGATTTTTATTATAATACTCAGTCTGTCTATTTTTCTCCTTATCAATAAATTTTGTCACCAAGTCGCGTAAGGCGTCAAGTCTTTTAACCCTGTCAATCCATATCTCGGGAGAGATTCTGTGAACCCTATCCTTCTTCTCGATTTCTCTCCGCAAACTTTTTACTGGTCGGGGGTGTCGACCAAAATTTAAAAATGCAGGAGATGTCTTTGTCGCAGCTTGTGTGGCAGTGTTGACTGCATGTCGAAATTCGTGAATATGCAGATCCCAGTCTCGATGATCATTTCCAATAAATGTAGATATCATAGTCTTCAAGGTCCGATTGCTTCTCTCTACCGGATTAGCTTGAGGGTGATATGGTGGTGTTGTAATATGCTTCACCCCATATTCGTCAAGTGTGTCTCTAAGAGTCTTGTTGTCGTATTCTTTCCCGTTGTCAGTCAAAAGAAAGTCTGGAGTTTCCCATCTGAAGAGGATTAATTCTTCGAAGGCCTTAGTCACTGATTTCCCATCTGCAGATCTTAATGGCTTCAGTTCGATCCATCTCGAAAACAGGTCTTGAAAAACAACAAGATATTTGCATTTACTTTTACTTGGTGGAAATTCCATCGTGTCAGCTGCAACTACTGCCCATGGTCTCTCTACTATTCTCTGTCCCATCATTCCTACAGGTCCAGCTTGAGATACTTTATGTAATTGACATTTTACACAATGAGTGACAAACTTGTGTACGTCATTCCAGATTCCTGGCCAATAGTATTCCCTTGCAACCCTGTCATAAGTCTTCTCCACTCCTAAGTGTCCCATAGATGGAATAGAATGAGCATCGTCTAACACCCTTAGTCTATGTTCATCTGGGACAACCAGCTTCCATCCGTCTTCATCACCAATAATAGGGAGGAGCAAGGGATCATTACGATGACGGTATAAAAGGTCATTTTCAATTCTCCAACCAGGAAATCTGTTTGGAAATTTTCTGATCATTCCCCGTCGTCTGATGTACCATTGATCCTCAATCGTCTCAAAAGCGTCAATCATTTCGTCATCTTCGGTCATTCTTGATAATGCATCTGGAACTTGGTTTAATGCACTCTTTCTGTGAATAATCTCAAAGTCCCAGTTCTGCATCTCCAAAGCCCATCTTGCGAGTCTTCCAGTCGGATCCTTTAAATTCTTCAGCCACTTCAAAGCTGAATGATCAGTAATGGCCTTGAATTTATATCCTTCAATGTAAGGTCTGAACTTTTTTATAGACCAAAGTAGTGCTAGGCACTCCTTTTCCGTCACAGAATAGTTCCTTTCAGCACCAGTCAAAACTCGGCTGATATACATCACTGGATGTTCTCCATCATCAAATTCCTGAGTCAGAACGGCGCCAAGGGCATAACTACTTGCATCACACTGGATTGTGAAAGGCAAATTAAAGTCAGGGCGAGCGAGTACTGGTGCTGTCGTCAATTTTATTTTCAAAGTGTCGAAGGCTTCCTGTTGTTCGTCTCCCCATTCCCATGGTCGTCCTTTATGCAGCATCTTAAAAAGTGGCAATCTGATCTCACTGTCATTTTTGATGAATCTTGAGTACCATCCAACCATTCCTAGAAATCTCCTTAGTTGTTTGACATTTGTAGGTGGTGGATAGTTTCGTACTGCTTCTGTCTTCTCTGGATCTGGTCGTAATCCTTCCTCGTCTAATAAATATCCCAAATATCGGACTTGTGAACATCCAAATTCACACTTGTCAGGATTAACAGCCAGATTTGCTTTCCTCAGTTCCTCTAATACAAACTCCAATCTTTTTATATGTTCGTCAAAGTTGTCCGTCACGATGATGATATCGTCAAGATATCCGAACACATACGGTTCAACTTCTGGTCCAAAAAGAGAGTCAATCAGTCTCTGGAATGTACTCGAAGCATTCACAAGTCCAAAAGGCATTCGGCAGTATTGCCAAAGTCCTGATCCGGGGATAGCAAAAGCTGTATACTTTTTGCTCTCTTGGGATAATGGAATTTGGTGATAGGCTAGCGTCAAGTCAATTTTTGAGATATATCTGGCCTTTCTCAATTTGTCCAAAATAGAGTCAATGGTCGGCAATGGGTACATGTCCTTTATTGTGACCTTATTAACGTCTCTGAAGTCCAAGCATTGTCGAAAGTCACCATTCCCTCTAGGCGTCAAAACTGGAGCTGTCCTCCAATTGCTGCATGATGGCTCGATTACTTTTTTCTTATACAATTCTGCTGTATTTTTCTGTGACCAAGTAATCATTATCGGCGACATACGTCTTTGTCTGTGTTGGACAGGGATTCGTCAGTTACCCTGATGTGATGTTCAGTCAAGTTGGTCATTGGTAGTTCTTCCGATGGTGGTAGTACCAATTTTCTCACCAGGTCTTGAATAATATCTTTTTGTTGGTCCGTCAACGCAGAGATACCAGCACATTCAGCATAAATTTCTTCCTCGCCCTCGATAACATCTTTGACACAGAATACATGCCAATCACCATCAAATACTCTCCAGAGACCAGGTCCAAGTTGAACTTCCATATTCCAAGCTTTACAAAAGTCGATGCCCAGAATGATGTCTTGTGTAACTGAACTGAGAACTTTAACGTCAAACTGTTTTGAATGTCCGTCAACTGTTATATTCAGTTTTAACAACCCTGCTGTCTCTGTCTTGCCACCAATCGCACTCCTTATTGAGGTATTGCATGGCTGTAGTCGGTTCCTATATGGCTCTGCCACTCTGTCGCTGATCACAGATATCATCGCTCCAGGGTCAAATAGTGCCTCATAAGAATTGTTGCCGATGTGCATTCGAAAGAAATATCGATTTTCCAGTCGGCTTCCGTCTACATCCTGGTCAATATCAAGGTATGGGTCAGTTGTGCCCTTCACAACCTCTCCCCTCCCTTGGAACATTGATACTGATCCTTTATCAGTATCATTCATCCCCTCAATTAAACTCCGCTTATAAAGTCGATTACTATCCCCACTCTTAGTCTCCATATCCCTAAATGAAAAATTAAATGAGTTCTTCTCATTCTTACTCTCTCCTTCATCCCATGTCAATAGTTTGAATGAGTTTTTCTCATTTAATTCTTCAGTTCCTATTTTATCCTCTTTCCAAATGAGTGGTACCTCTCCACTCTTGTCGTCTACTATCTCGTCACCCGTGTCCCAACTGCATGTTGCACCTTCATTAATAGGGAATGAATTTAAACCTTTAATTTTGTCTAATTTATCCCTATTTTTCCCAATTACTGTAACTTTTTCTTTGTCAAAAGAAATAGTAATTATTGGGTCTGAGGGGGTTTGGTGGGGGGTACAGGCAGTGACTGCGCCCCCCATGGGCCGTTTCCCAAAGCGTTTCTCACATTAATACAATTTGGGCAAGTCAAGAAGTTTACCCCCGGAGTTTTGCAAACTAGACAAATTTCTGTCTGCTTTACTCTGCTAGGGCAATGTGTTGCAATATGCCCAGGTTGTTGGCACACATAACATTTTCTTAAAGGACATTCCTGACACCCTATGTCCTACTGACTGACAAGAAAAACATGCACCATAAAAAGGGGTTGGTGCACTTGCATTATTTGTTGGACCAGTTTGACCTGCAGCAGTATTAACGGAGTTGTTATTTTGCTGCTTCTTCTTCCATTTTCCTGCCATCATCGCTGCATACAACATGGCTGGATTTGGAGTTGGTGTTGGTGTCATATTGGTGGTAGGGGTCATTTGGTTGAGAGCGTAGACTTTTTCGTCAGTTTTCTCAACTTTCTTCTCCCCTTTTGTCTTCTTGTCCTTTTTCTTCTTTTCGTTCTTCTTCTTACTTTTCTTCTCTCCTTCACTTGTCTCGACAACTCCCTCGTCTTCTATTGCTGCTACTTTCTTTTCATTTTTATTGGTCCCATGTGTCTTATCGTCCTTCTTGGTACCATGGAATGCAGCGGCTGGAAAACGCATTTTGTCTTTCGATGGTGGGGGAACATATCTGTCGTCCAAGTCTTTAACTTTTTCAAATTGTCGTAAATTTTTTTCTAGTTTAGTCAGTGATTCTAAACTCGATGAGTCAACTTGTCTGCGGTAAGTAGGCGTAAGGCCTTTGTAAGCAATTTTAACTTGTTGCTTGACTGATAATGGTCTCTTTAAATGTCCCATTATTAGTCTTAAACTTGTCAAATATGAAGAAATCTTTTCTCCTTTTGCTTGTGTTCTAGCCCTGAGTTCATCAATTACCTCGTCGTCGTCAACTGTTGTTAAAAATTCACGTCGAAAAGCTCTCTTGAACATCTTCCATGTGTCGATTTCTCGTCTGATAGTCCTATACCAACGACTTGCTTGTCCTTTCAAAATACTGGGAATTGAATGTACTAAGTCATCGTCGTCAATTACCATACAATCTTTGCAATCTTCTAGTCTGTTGAGGAAATCTTCAGGGTCAGCATTGTCATCTCCCGAAAATTTAATATCCCAATTAATTAAAGTTTTAATTGTTTTTGACCTATTAATTGCTATACTTTTGTCTGATTTTAACGACGATTCACTAGAAATGTCCGAGTCAGAGTCACTTGATGAATCCGTAAATAATGTCCTTCGTACATTCTTTTCTTTATATTTTTTATTAGTTCGTCGTTTGTACTTGTCTTTGTTTTGAGAAATCTTTTTCTCCCTAGTCGAAAATTTGTCGGATTTGTCAGAGTCATTTTCGCTATCACTGTCGTTGTTTGATATTCCTCCCTTGAACAGAATTTTTTTATTTGTCTGTACTGGTTGAGGAATATTTCTATCACATTTGCTTTCTCTTGTTTTATTTTGAATGGGTTGAGAAACATCTATTTTGTCATTATTTTCAAAATTCTGATTTTGATAATAATGTTGGACTTTTTCTCTTTTTAATTGAGGGTTCATATCATTTGGTGGCCATTCAAAATTATTTCCTAATCCCATGTAGTCATTATTTTCATCGATAGGTATAAGAGTATTAGTCATTTGTTTATTTAATTTAATAAATTGTCTAATTTCGGGACTAATACTGAGTCTTGAAACCGATTGTTGTAAACTAATGACATTTGGTGCCATTGTAGCCGAAATAATTGGCTGGGGTGTAGTCATGACCGTTGTAGTAATTGGTGAAGAAAGTGTATGGGAAGTCGTTGTCAAAATTGAGGTAGTAGGGATACTAGCTGTAGTCATTACTGGTGTATGACTCATACTTAAGGGACTTTGTCTATTGTACATTAAGCTATTCTCCCCCCTCCTTGCTAACGTTTCTTGATTTTTGTCAATTTCACCCAAATTACCTAAATTCATAATTTTAGGGCTGTCAATTTCCTCACTACTATCACTTGTCACTCCTGTACCCCTTGTCTGGCAAACATTGGGAATTTCTTCCTTCTTGGGTGGTGTATACGCTTCAAGAAGGAAAATTTTACTTGAATTCCCACAGTCATATTCTTGGCAAAAAGGAATGTCTAATTCATCTGTAAAAATTGTTCTTAATTCAATTCGGAACAATCTTTCCCTCAACACTTCTAATGTTCCTGCAATCGACAATTGTTTTGCAAGTAACATTGTCACTATTTGTCCTACTGGCATGGCAATAATAGATGTCCAGATATCTCTTATCTCGGGACTATCTAAAAGTATTGCCATTCTTTCTTTATAATCTATCATCTTCTCTATTGCGTGAGCCATTTCAATTGTAAAAAAAAATATTTTAAACAATTTCAAATGTCAAAAAAAATGTTTTATTACCCTAGTCGATTTTAAATTAGGGCAATTTTAAATTTACACGCTTTATCACAAATCAAAATAAATTAATTTCAATTTAATTTAGAAGAATTTTGAAAAATTTTCAATCATTAAAGATAAAAATTAATTTTTAGGGCCTAACACACACTATATACGGTCCTGAAACTATTCAATAATTTATTTAATTAATTCTATTCTTATTCAACTCAAAAAGGATAAAAATTTTGAAAATTTGTTAATTACTAACAAAAAGGGGACACGTCTCCCATTTAATACGGCCCTGGTCCCTTTTAAAATTTTCACAGTCTCGCGACAGAAATTTTCATCTCCTTTCCCAAGTCAAATTTCTCTTGTCAATTTCTGTATAAGTGATATTTTCGAGCCTACGTGATTAATTTCTGTCATGCGCGATAATTTCCCTAGTCGAAATTTTCCACTGACCGCCAATTTCTATGAACGAAACTGAATTTGAAAAATGATGCGAAAAATTATCACTATGCGCATGCGCTATATGTCACGTGACTATTATAATTTTATTCAACACCAAGCACGTGTTGGCTAATTATTTAAATAATAATGTCAAAAATTATTTATCACTTGCGAAAAATCAAGAAAAATTCACTGAATTTAGTAAAATTAAAATTACTGAAATCGTCCAAGAATTACACCAACTATTCAACTTCCAAAAAAAAATGTCCAAATTGAGGTTATGGCGTCTCTCGCCATGCCGTCAACTAATATTCTCAAGTGTAAAAATGTTTTATTTTACACAATTATCTCCTCCTCTCCCAAGTCAAATACAACAAAAAGTACAATTTACATGTAAATCTCCTCCTCTCCCAAGTCACATATAGAAATACATATAAATTCTTCTCCTCTCCCAAGTCCAATCAAAAATACATGTCACAAAAATAATTTCAAGTCAAAAATTCACAAGTCTAATTTCATGAAATAATTTCTGGTCGTGTCTCAAAAATTTCCCAACAAATGTGCCCCACGTTGGGCGCCAAATTTTATGACGGTTCTTTTAATAATAAATTCAGAAAATATACAAAATCCCAAATATTTTATTAATTCCCTTAGTCGTCAAAAATCAAATTTAACACCGAACATGGCATGTCAGACGCCAGTTAGTTTTATTTGTCGAAAAACTAACAAAAACAATAATACAGAGAATCAGTAATTAATAATAATAATTTGTCAATACTTCTCACTAGTCAAAATTAACAATCTCAAAGGAGATTCCGTTGGGAAAATTAGAAAAGGGAAAATCTAATTTCAGAGACACGACCTTTTTAGTAAAACTCTACTTACTTGTCTTATTGTTGATTTATTAATCCTTTCGTCTTTATAGGACTATTAAAAATTAATAATATGTCACACAAACTTTTCAACTCTTATTTATTCAACCTCACTTATTTTCTTTCTCTTTACATAAATTCAATATAAATCTCTTAACAAATCTCCTCACTTGTCACTACTACGACAACCAAAATTCAACTCTCTTCTTTTTTGTCGTCTGCTACATTTCAATTCGCGCGAGCGAATCGTAAAGGGGAGTTTTCATCTCCCATAAACTCGAAGTCGAAGTTACACGTAAAAATTATAAATTCAAAATAACAAGAAAATGTATTTGACGGAGTTACTACGTCACAACATATATATGTTTAATTGATTCATTTATGTTTTTTATGTCCGTTTACAATTTTGTATTTTAACTTTTAATACTTTTTAACATTTGTTCCTTTATTCTTCTACATTAAAATAGTTTTAAATTTTAACTATTGACGCACGAGAACCGCAGGAAAAGAACAAAGTCGCAATAGCGACAGAGTTGGAGCGCTGCACTTAAAGGCTAAAGTTTACGACAGTTCGGAGGGAGGGTAAAGGGCTTCAAAAGAAGGGTTATTTGTTTATTTTTCTATTTTTTTCTTATATTTCCTTTTGTTTTATCATACCAACCCCACATAACCTTGGAGTGCGGAATCCAAGGTATCTGTAGGCAGATTTCCCAAAAGTACCTAAGCAAAAAAAAAAATAATAATAATAATAATGCGGCTTGTATTGAAAAGATCGAGGAAGAGGTATGCAAGATGCTATAGTCCTGCAAAGTACAGACGAACATCAATATGACGATTAAAAACGGCCTGAAGAACCTGACAGAAATTGTACAGGAGGTTAGGAAGAAGCATGAAGCCGCAAAGAAACAGAATGCGCGATTCTACCACGCTATGTCTATTTCGGAACAGATGCGTGAGGATCGAGAGACGAGGAGAGCGATTCTAAGCTAAGGTCATTAGAAATGTCGTGCTGGAGTGCTCTAAGAAAAGGAGGAAAAGTGAAAGTAGTCCAGAGGGGACAAAGGAGGTAAGAAAAAGGAAGGAAGCACCTTCTAAGATACCGAAGCCAACAACAAGTCATGGTAGTACGGCGAAGTCAGCGGCTGGAGAATCTACAATGATCGTTAGGGTCGCGGAAGGAAGATCTTTTGCCGAGGTGCTGGGAAAGGTCCGCAAGGAGGTAAACTCGGAGGAAAGTCAGACTAGAGTAGTTAGAGCAAGACCAACCAAGAATGGAGAGCTCCTCATTAGGATAGGTGGTTCCGCAGACAAGAACGGGTTTACTGAGGAAGTGACCATAGTTGTGGGTGATTTGGGTAAGGTGCAGAACGCGGACTGAAGGATTACTCTGGAAATTCGCGACCTGGATTGCCTTACCCAGGAGGACGAGGTGCAGGAGGCACTATAAGTGCTCATAAGTGAACCGGCAGAAAGCAGAAGAGTGACGGTTCTTGGACCTAACAAGCGAGGAACGAAACTCGCAGTTGTGGTCACCGACCATGATCAGACTGCAAAGCTGGAGGTACTCGGACGCATAAAAATTGGTTTTATGTCATGCCCGATCAGAAGAAGGCTTATGATAGTGAGGTGTCACCGATGCCTCGGCTATGGTTACCTTGCAAGAGAATGTAACAGGACGGATAGATCAACTGCGTTTCTTAAGTGCGGTGAAGTCGATCACGAGGCTGTGGATTGCTTCTTGCTTTTTGTGTAAGGAGAAGTTTCCAGAAACGAAAAACGTTCATCACGTTGCGGGAAGTGGAACTTGCAGGGTCTTCCGAACTGCCCTTGAGGAGGCGAAGAAGACTTTCGCAAGGATCAAAAGTAGAAAAAAGGCGTAATTTCACACCACAACTTTTATGTCTTTAGTCAACATTTTACTTTGTTCTGTTTAATTTAATTACTCTGTGATTTTCATTTGTCCTTTTTCAATTTTAATTTGTTTTGTGATTTTTATTTGTCCTTTTAAACTTTTTTTATCTTTTAAACTTTACTGTCAATATGTTTACTTTCTTGTTTCTGTTGCCTATGTCCAATTACAATTTTATTTTTAGACTTTCTTTTTATTGTTGTGTTGTGATTGCCGCTTTGACATTAAAATGGTTTTACATTTTAACTATTGACGTAGGAGAGCCGCAGGGAACGAACAAGGTCGCATCAGCGACGGAGTTAGAGCGCTGCCCTCGAAGGCTAAAGTCTTACGACAGTTCCGAGGGTGGGTACAGGGCTCCAAAAGAAGGGTTACGAGTTTTAGTGGGTCGGGCTGGCAGTAGGTCGCCAGTTTATTAAAATTATTATAATATTTATTTATTTACCTTTTTTATAATTTTTTTCTCTTTCATTGAACCAACCCCACATAACCTTGGAGTGCGGAATCCAAGGTATCTGTAGGCAGATTTCTCAAAAGCCTCTAAGCAAAAAAAAAAATAATAATAATAAAAATAATAATAATAAAACGTTTTATAAAAAACATAATATCTACCAATTCTTCAAATAAATTATAATATTTCAAAAATTTGCAATCATATTTTTAATGTCTTCATTACTTAGAAGATTAAATGATTCGTCATCAATCTCGTTTTCTGAAAAATTATTTTCGAAATATACGAGATTAAAAACTAAAACATATTTTTATGTAAGTAGATTGTTTATAACCTCGATTTTAAAGTTCTTATTTTTATTCAAACGACAAGGAAAAATCGATTACTATTAAACACATTCAGAATTAATAGAAATTATTATTGTATACATATTACCAACCTTGAAATATTGCTTCCTCATAAAGGAAGCTTTGTATTAGCAAAATTTTGGATTAATGTAGGAAATTATTTGCTGATGAAGAATTTTTAATTAAGGAAGATTTCGACTATATCAGCAATTAGTGACATCTATTAGACGTCAATTGAACTCTTTGGTTTAGAGTCAGGTGTTATTCTTAAGATAATTATTCCGATATGGTTGTCGGTAAAATAATTATATTTTTGAATTTAATTTTTGATCTGAAAAAATAAGCTGCGTGAACGACTGCACTGTGCATCTGTGAGGACTCGAACCCCAGTTAATAGCTGCCTTTCGCGGGACTAACGCGAAAAAAAGAATTTGTCATTTTTTGACATATTTATAAATTTTTTTTATTATGCCTAATACTTTAGTACTTTATATATGCACAGGAACTCCCCGTATAAATGTTTTAAATAAATAAAAAAAAATTTCGACATATTTTGACCTCCGAAGTCCAAAAAAAAGAGTTTAAAAATTTGTCCCGATGTGTGTGTGTGTGTGTACTAACATTACATTTGCCTCAATATCTCAGAACGAGAAAGAGATAAAGGCATCAATTTTTTTAAATTCTAGGTCTCCCTGGGGGACATAAAATAACAGTATTTTCAGCCCGATTCATGAAGTTTAACTATTTTTTTTGCATTTTTCATTTAGTAAAAAAACGTTTTTTGGACATAACTTAAAAAAATATTAGGACACTTATAAATCTTTTTCTTTAGTTTTGTAGAGTTTTTTCAGACGCATCTTTTAAGCCCTAATTGAACATTTTTCGTCCATATTAACCCGAGATATTAAACTTTTAAAAATCAAAAATTTTGGAAAATAAGAGTTAAGTGTTAAAAAATGGAGAAGTTTAGTTTTGTTTTGTATTTAGTTTTGTAGAGTTTTTCAGACGCATCTTTTGAGCCCCAATTGAACATTTTTCGTCCATATTAACCGAAGATATTAAACTTTTAAAAATCTAAAATTTTGAAAAATAAGACTTTTATAAAAAATTTTTTAAATTATGTAAAATTAACTTTAAAAAATTATTATAAACTTGAAGAGCATTAAAAAACGCTTCGATTGACCTATTTTTGAACCTGATTCGGTCAGAAATTATGAAATTATTGGTATTTGAAAAATCAAAAATTGTGGAAAATATCATTTTTTCAACATTCTTGTTTATTAATTTATGTGTAATTATTAAACTATTATTACCATCTTATAGAATATATAATAACACATTTTTTAGACCAAGATTTAAAGATTTTTAACCCTTTAATAAAAAGTAATTCTTATATTTCAATTATTATCATTTCTATGAGGAAGCAAAGTGTTCATGAAATGAACACAAAAATTATAAAAATGTACAACTTGGCAGCGGTTTTTTGATTATATTTTTACTGATGTTCCAGGTTTTTATGCGATCAATGTAGGTGTATTTACAGGCTGTCATATTCTATAAATTAATTTTAATTTATAGAAATACTATTATTTATATAATAATTATTTATTTATATAATTTAAGCACTCTAATATTATTAGGAATCAATGTTTTCATACACTTACTGCCAAAAACTAACCACAGTTTTTAAATGTCAAACTGACAAATGTCAAATTTGTATATCAACATTCACTTATTATTTCAAATTCTTTTGCACTCGCGTATTGCACAATTGAATATCGGATTGATGAAAATAAATATCCTGTAGTGTAAAACAAATTATAGTATATATATGTATTATTTACCAAAAGAAAAATATGATAGAGTGTAAGTTGTATTATAAATAAGGTCTGATTTACTAAACAAATTTTTAACTATGAAAATTTAACACTCTAGTTTTCTCCGTGTGACATGAACGAAATAAAGACACTGATTATTAAGGGGACATTTCAGTTCAAAATGTCAAAAAAATCGATTTTGTTTTGTTTTTAATTTCGGATATCTTATAGTGTCAAGAATACTCTCCTAAAATATTATTGCAAAATTCAAAGTAAAACAAAAGTTGTACATCCTTATTCTTCGCCATGTCAAAGATGTTTTTGTATGCGGATAAGCAATAGAATGATTTAAATGTTTTCTCATTTGCATTTTTTAAAAAAGACAAACAAAAATGTATTTGGTGTTGCTGATTACAAATTAGATATCAAATTTTCAAAATTTAAAAAGGCGGATCCAATATGGCAGAAAAGAAAATTTTTTTATTTTAATTTTTTTTTCGTTTAA